AAAAAAAAAAAAAAAGGTTTTCTGATGATTCAAAGGAGCAGCCAAGGTTGAGAACACCATTCTACTCAAACTGTGATTACTGGACAAGCCATATTAGATTCAGCTGGGGGCTTGTGAGAATTGAAGAATTTCAGCCCTTCAAGGGTGGGGAACCTGTAGCTTTAAAGAAACTAGTGACCTTCCTGGTCCTTAAGTCTTTTGATTGAATCCAAAGTTTACTTATCAAATCCTTTTATTAAAAGGGGTGTAGCAGAGACCAACAAAGCTATACTTGTTTCCTTTTGTGTTTAAAAAAGAACAATCTTGGGTGGCACCTATGGTTCAGAGGAGTAGGGCGGGGGCCCCATATACCAGAGGTAACAGGTTCAAACTTGGCCCTGGTCAAAAAAAAAAAAAAACAAACCAAGAACAATCTTGATTTCAGAAGGCCTCAGGTTCCCCACCCAATGTTAACAAGATCCCCACGTGATGTATTCACTTTAAAGCAACTGGTTCAACCTGGACCAGTGAAATTGGTCCAGGTGAAATTCTCAGGTCTTAGCCCAGACCTCCTAGGTGAGAAAGTGGGTTTTGGAAGCTTTCCAGGTGATGCTGATGCTACTCAAGTTTAAGAACCACTCTCTAGAAACCTTGATATCCACAGGACAATGCCAACTGTTTGGCTCACATCAAGGTTTTGGAGGGGCCATGAAGCAAACAACATCAATGTCTCCTGACTATCTAAACAGCATCACCATACACTCCGCTGTCACCCAAAGCCAGAACCCTAGAAACATCCCCAGTTCCATAATCAATCACCCTCTTACCCGCCCCACTGTCCTGTGTGAGCATTCTTCTGACCTGACTCCAGTGACCTCGAGTGGGTATCCCTAACTCTCATTTTATTCTCAGGTCCCCCAATTTAGACTTTGCTCTTCAGCAAGGGGTGGTCTGTGCTTTCCTATGTAAAGCCTAGTGTCAGTGTTCTGCTCACAGGGCAAAGTTGAACTGGTGACTGGTACAGGGCCACACACTTACTTTCCCTCCAGCTAACTTCCTACTCTCATTCAACCACCTATCCTATCTTTGGGGCAACTTCTCAGTTCCTCCGTTTGCACCATGCTCTCCCTGGGCCTTATGCATGTGTGATGTTCTACCCACTTGGAACACAACTCCTCCATTCCACTCACTTTTTGGTTGGCCTAATCTCTGCTCTTTCACTGCTCCTCAGTTTAGGTATCAGTTCTGTATGGAAAGCTTTCCTGACTCCTGTGTGGGTTATTTGCCCGTTTTCTCTGGTCCCACAGCTTCTTTCCTTGCTTATCCAAGTGCTTTTTACAATGCCCCACAGGCAGTGTTTGTGGCTGCACACCTAGCACATGGAAGGTGTTGGCTGGACAGATGAATGGCTGGTAAGACTGAATTCTCATCCCTAAGCAGGATGAAATACCCTGCATTTCATATGGACACCCTCTCAGAGAGTCTAAGGAAGAATGTGTGTTTTGAATAATTTTTTTTTTAATTTTTATTGACACTTAAAAGTAATCTATAGTCTTAAGTCAAAATACCAATGAGGGAATAGGGTATGATTTTTGCATTTTAGAAAATTTTCCATATCCATTAACTTAACAGTCACCCACTAAATACTTATTATGTACAGGGCTCAGGGTTCCAAGAACTTTGGAGATACAAATGTGAAATTGGATACTTCCCTGCTGACAGTCCAGGGAATCTGTGTACACTCGACAATTCTAATGAAGATAGGGAGTGGAAAATCATAACGGAGGGAACAGAAAGTACTGGGAGGTACTAGGGAGTGAGAGGATCCTCCTTGTGATCAGGAGATATATAAAAAGAAGCTAAGATTTTAGAAGGTAAGAAAAGATTTCATGAAAGGTATCTCATGGAAGCTGAGCCTTGAATGACAGAAATGACTGGAGGAGGGGTGGCTCTGGTGACAGCTAAGGACCAGTATAAACAAAGAGATAAACAGATGAAGTCCAGGCAAATCAGGCAAAGAATATGTGAATAGCTTAATGTGACTTGCCGAGAACATAAAGGAAGAAAGAGAGAACATGGTTGGTTAGACCAGGCTGCATCTACAGAGGACCCTGAATTCCCTCTGTTAGCCTCTCTTACGAGCACCATGTAATGACTGTTGGAGGAAGAGGGTGACAGGTCAGAGCAGTGTGTTGGGAAGATCAGAACTCTAGTCATCTTTAATGAGAAGGATCGAAAGGGAGGGAAAACAGTGGGAGGTGAACAATTGTTTTAATGGTAAAAACAAGTTACTATCATTCCATATAGTTCTAAAGAACTAGAACAGGGGTCCTCAAACTTTTTAAATAGGGGGCCAGTTCACTGTCCCCCAGACTACCGGCCCCAGGACAAGTTAGCTACTAAGGAGGACAGGCAGTGGTGGCAAAAATACCCGGTGGGCCGGATAAATGTCCTAGGCGGGTCGCATGTGGCCCGTGGGCCATAGTTTAAGGATGCCTGAACTAGAACATGATGCCCAGTAAACTGAGATGAAGAAAACTTTTGCTCAATCTTGTTAATTGTGTTTTCTCCCTAGGAATAGCTTTTAAATAATTTCAAAAGAATCTTTGCTGTAACTTTAATTCTTTCTCCTCTCTTTTCATTCTACTAGAATGCCTCAATTGTCTTTTCTGCTAGAGCAGTGGTTCTCAACCTTCCTAATGCCAAGACCCTTTAATACAGTTCCTTATGTTGTGGTGATCCCCAACCATAAAATTATTTTCATTGCTACTTTGTAACTATAATTTTGCTACTGTTATGAAACATAATGTCAATATCTGATATGCAGGATGGTCTTAGGCGACCCCGTGAAAGGGTTGTTCGGTCCCCAAAGGGGTCGTGACCCACAGGTTGAAAACCACTGTGCTAGTGGAAACATACAATAAACCTAGCAAGAAAGCCCTACGTCTAGTTGTTTCTCTTAACCTTACCACAGAGGAACAACTAAATTCAGGGGAAAAAGAGAAGCTGAATTTCTGTCCTATATCAATTTCTCTCATAAATTCTACTTCTAGGTGTGACTGCTTCCTTTTAAATAGGTTAGGAAGGGACCCATGGATACCATGCTGGAGTAGCCCACCCACTTTGGATCCGTGCTTTTTGGTTTCTAAGTTAGGGCTGGGTTTAAAAGACTAAAAGCTGGCTTGGCGCTGGTACCTCAGTGGTTAGGGTGCCAGCCACATGCACCGGGGCTGCTGGGTTTTAACCTGGCCATGGCCTGTTAAAAAACAATGACAACAATAACAAACAAACAAAAAAAAAATAGCCAGGCTTTGTGGTAGGTGCCTGTAGTCCCAGCTATTGAGAGAAGGAGGCAAAAGAATCGCTTAAGCCCAAGAGTTTGAGGTTGCTGTGAGCTGTGACTCCATAGCACTCTACTGAGGGCAACATTATAAGACTGTCTAAAAAAAAAAAAAAAACTAACAGCTGGATAACTTCCATATTACAAAACTTTGGCACCTCACAGGAAGGGTAGTTCTGTGGTTAATTACAGTCACCTGAGGAGATTAAGCAAATCCACTCAATTACATGATCCCTATGGTTCAGGAAGTATCTTCTCTTTAAGGCACTAAAGTAGCTTTCTCAAATGAAGTATTTAAAAGGACTGCTCTCTAAGCATATGCAACCTGCTTTGTTAATTGGGCTTTAAAATCTGCCACACTTCTACTGAAAGCCTGTAGAATAAATAGTTTGTTATGACCTCACTTCATTTTGACAAACCCTGCTATTAAAACTTTCTTGGTCACAACTCCCACTGCTTGAGATCAACAACTTAAATGTAATGCCTACAAAAGTTAAAAAAAAACCTACTCTAGAAAGTGCTTCTTTTGTTTAGGATCAAATTAAATGATGGAAGAAAAAGATATATTGATCTGATAATATACTTGATCTGAATATACTTTGATTTCTAAAAGAATATGGCATATTATTTTTTATGGCAAAGGAGACTTCTAGGAAGTTCGAATGCTATATTTAAATTTGAAGTCTCGGCTTGGCGCCTGTGGCTCAAGTGGCTAAGGTGCCAGCCACATACACCTAAGGTGGTGGGTTTGAATCCAACCCGGGCCCACCAAACAAT